CGATCTACGTGCGCGGGCAGTTCACGTCGGAGTCGCGCGCTTCTGGCAGCGCGACGTAATTTTAGACAGTACCCGCAGTGACAGTCTTTATAACGCACGTGAAGTATGAACCACTTCCGGTGGATCCGCGTCATGTCCCCTCGCACTCCAGTGGCTCCGATTCTAAATCTGGACAAGCAAATTTCCGTGGCCTTTAGCCCCGCGTGTCGTACCGACGAAAATCACTCGTTGATCGTCGACTCTCGCAAAATACATATTCTCCCAAGCAGAGCAGATCATCACGATAACATTAATCATAATTAATTGAAAAGTGACTTTTTTCTTAGTAATTATTTGGACCTCATGATGACTCGTCTACCAGCATTATTAAGATCTTATCCAAGATGCCTGTGAGCATCAAATTATTAAATTGTTAGGTAATTTAATTTTGCGATAGTACTATTATATGGTTCTGTCGGTTTAAACAGCGTTTTAAGACCATAAAATTAATTCAGCGCGCCGTTTGGCCGAATTTGATACGTAAATAATATATAAATTTACACTAAATTATTCAAGCACCAAAGATACTCCAGCTCCGACAGTTATGGGTCCTATTTTCTATTTGGTTGTATTCTATTTTGTAGAACAAAAATTTGTTAGTACAAATAGTTGTTTGACAAAGCGTTTATCATTAAACATTACTACGGACGTACTAATTATACCGCGCTTGTATCGATATGAGAACAAAATTGTATTTGGATTACACAAAATTATATATATAGTTTACCGATTTAAATTATAATTTTAGTAAATTTATTTCATGTGAAATTATTTAATCACAATTTTACATGTGACCGATCTAGATGTACGTCGCATCGAGATTCTATATCGTCCGCGATAGATAATCGGGCGAAGAGCGATTACGGGGGTAAATATGTTTCGGTAATTGCGTGGCTAAGTTTAGGCGGTGCAGTTGGCGTCAATGCGCGGATGCATATTCAGAACGGGGCTCCTCATATTCTTATGCTCACTTACTAAACCGCCGCGTCGCGTGTGGATGTGAATGTGAATGGAACTTGCTGGCACCCCGCCTGTTTATATTTAGCCACTGTGGGCGGTATAGCTGTCACGGATACGTATCATCGGCATAACTGAACTGTGCAAATGAATAATGAAGTTCCAGTCGTCCCTTTCTCTCTCTCTCTCTCTCTCTCTCCCTCTCTTCCTCTCTCTCTCTCTCTCTCTCTCTCCCCCTCCCCTTCTCTCTCTTTCTCTTTCTCTTGCCTATTATAGATGCTGCGAACCGAAGATGTTACTCAAATTGGCGTTACCCGGTCGCGATTCATTGTTTCCCGGTGGCCGATTCCTCGTGCCACCGAAGTGAACGCGACACATGTGGTCTCAATGAACACATGCGCTCATTGGGATGCTCGCAGGGACATAAACGCACAGTTCGGCAGCCTTTGAACGACTTGTCGTACCAACGACGCATCGTAAAAGATTGTAACGGCAGCGAGTACAGAGAATGAAGACTACAGTCATACGATACTCTTAATCCCGTAATGATCGCTTTGTTAATCCCGCGGCTTAAGACAGTGTGTGTGTGTGTGTGTGTGTATATATATAAAAGAATATATATTGTGTG